TTATCCGCGAACGGCACGGATCGGTACGGAATGGGGTTCCTTCCGATCGATGCAAGTAAGCGATGGAAAGAGCGTAATCGGAAGAAGGGAAGCCTTCTACGTCGGTAGGGCGAGGAGGTGGAAAGTTTCTACGTCGCTGTGTGTGTCTTTTCTCTTGTCGGGTTCGCGATAAGGCGTACGGAAAGCTTTCATGTTTATGGAGCTTTGCAGAGAGAGCTCCCAAGTATGCGGAATATGGGCATGAGCAAGGGCAGATCCCGAATTCATCCATGGGTTCCACACGATCCGGCCTGGCCAACGAAAGGTGAGTGGGGGGGGGGGGCGTTCCGGCTCCCAAGTACCGGAAACGAAAGTGTTTACATTAATTTGGAAGCGTGAGACTGTTCGTATCGCCGTAGAACTTAGCGAAAACTCTGCCTTGCAATCGATCGTAAGGTCGGAGGTCGCCCCCTCCTTGTATTACTCATTGATTACGAGACACGGATGATCGTGAACAGGCAGGAACGCATCCGGGAATGGAGGGTTGGGTTTCGGTGGGTTCAGCTCCCTGGTTCTGATGGGTAATTCCACACACCATCGGAGACGCGATCAGAGGTGTTCAAGCTTCAGATTTTTTTTTTCTAATTTGACCTATAAAACCACGGCACCAGCGGGGCAGTGATGCCAAGCGATACTTGCTGATACTCGTCTTTTTCTCCAGCTGTTGGCGAAAAAGACGCGTTGGCTAGGCCGACCACGTCATTGAATGACGTCACTATAGTGCAAGCAGCTGCAAGCGGAACATTGCAAACTACGAGAACGCCGAGCAACTAATCCTTAAAATGACGTCATCTGTCGCTGGGGGGGGGGGGGGTGGCCTCAGCAGAGCTCGCTAGCAAAAGTGACGTGTCAAGCGACATTACAATCTTATAGTAAGGTTGATTGGCTGCATCAGGTTCCAAGAATATGCCGAATAGAATATGCGTAACTATGTGAAGTAAGCATTCTGTCGAGCGATGGCCCGCCGGTGTGATCGACTGGGATCTCGCGGGAGGGACTGGCGCATGCCCTGCATCAGAGATTGAATTATGTATCGGATTTTCAATTATGCATCAGATCTTCAATTACGCACTCGATTCTCAAGTATGCTGCAGAATTTATGTTGAGTTTTATCTGTGCTTCGAGTGCTTCGAAGGAGGAGCTGAGCCATGGATCGATGATGGACTGCATTCGGATCGAGGCCGTTGTCTCCCGGGAGGAGCGAAACGGAGGAACCTGGAAGGGGGAGTGAGGGGGGCCCATTGGCCGACTGAATGGGACCCATTGGCATATCGCAGGAGAAGACGATGGTGCTGTTGGGAAAGAGAGCGAAATGGTTCCGTGCTGATAAGAAGTCGCGATCGAAGACCGCTCTCGGAGGGAGGACTTATCGAGAGTTATGAAATCCGGCGCTGAAACACCGAGAAACCGCTTTGACTCATGCAGACGCAATTCTAGCACAAATGCACGACGACGAAATTTTCGGAGCTCGTGACAATATAACCGTGAAGCAAACCTCCACGAGCGCAAACGCTGCACCTCCGGTGCGAGCGACACTCCTCCGCCTTCCATTCCGCCTTCCATCCTGCCTTCTATTCCGCCTTCCATCCTGCTGCCACAGAGAAGGCTGTGAAATCTGATTCGAGTTGAGTCTCGGTGCGTTCATGTGCTCGTGCTTCGGAAGTTCCTCCGAGAGGTTTGCCGTCCTGCATTCGAAGGTAGAGGAACTGTTGCCGGTGGGTCGTTCCAGCCTGCTTCAACCAATATGGCGAAAAGTGGCACTACCGTCTCGATTTTTTATTTTATTTCCCCAAACGGTATTCATTAAGTGCCTTGCAGCCGAAATGTCTGATTCCTAGAACTAATAGTTTTCAGGTGTTAAAAATGTGGGGGTAGAGCATAATTTACCTAAGACAGACCGATGTTAGAGATCTACATGATGGGAAATTCTAAGTGGCCTTTCATCTAGATGTGCAGAATCAGTCATGGAAGTGAGGAGCTCCTTCCGCGAAGTGAGAGATAGGATCTTTCAAAACTGGTTCCATCGCTCGTGCGAGAAGCTCATCCATTATATGCAATGACGTTTTCTCTCCTTGCAAGAAGGTCATGGAGATTTAAGCGAGTCAGATCATGCTCACGAGTTACACCGTATCATTCAAGTGCATCTGCCTGGCAGACCATCGGCATGAGTTGCACGTGAAACGCGTTGAGCTCTCGCCTCAGAGGCGGATCGCCGGGTTCATCGTCGAGCGAGGACTCGAAGGCGACGGGAAACGGGCATGTGGAACGCCCGCTTGCGTGTGTGCGTGATACGAATCTGAGAATGACATTCTCAGATTTGAATTGATTGATTTATTTAATTGATTTATTTTATTTGTGGAGAGGTGGTCATGGCTAATATGCATTACCGGTTTGAGTGGCAGTTTCATCCGCTCTGCCTAGTTTTCCGCAAACCTGAAACTAATTGATTAATTACGGCGCGTCCATTCAGCCAGTCACGGAAACGGTGATTCCCACGTAACCCATCCGACCCATGATTCCCAAAGCAGCTTGGCCTTCCATGCGCAACTTCAGCGCCAGCTCTGGTGGATGTCGTTAACTAATTTGGGTGGGGTGCAAGGGGCGCTCCACTCCGGTGTCGTAGGGAGGAAGGCTCCTCCTCCTCTCGCGCTAGTCCAAAATCCAAGTAAGCTCTCTCTAATCAGGGCAGTCTAGTCTAGGGCAGTGGTTCTCAACCTTCCTTTTACTCCCATTGAACCTTCGTGCATTCGGGGGGTGACACCTCCCAGGTTGAGAACCACTGCTCTAGGGTTTAAAAGCCCATCTTTTTACCTGAATACCGCCGATGCTTTGTATTGATTGACTGGTGGATTCGAAAGCGACAGAAATCGAGTCAATTCATGTAAAAATAATTTTGAAAGTAAAAAAGGGAGAATCTTTGTGCTTGAGGGCCTTATTAACGGAATCTTTGAGCGAACGACAATTCTTATGCTATGACATGCAGTCTTCATTTAAAAAAAGACTGAAGTATGCCTCAATTTCTTTTCCTAAGATTCCAGCAAATTCCTCGTGAACCCACTACCCACACACGTTGCAACCGGCCCATGTTGCTGTTCCATACTTTGTATCATGTGAAACATTTATTCCTGCCTTTTTGTAGCATTACTTTTCTGTTAATTATACCCTTCATTGCCGCAGTGGGTCCCCTTGCTTCTTTTGTTTGCCTCCCTTTTGCTTCTGAGGATTTTTGGATGGACTTGTAGAGAGGAAGCACTTCTTGGCTTTTGTCTGGGTTGACAGACAAAAGGAAAGGCTTTTCATCCTAGCTACTGAGAAATAGAAAATGAAGTAGACTTTGCCGTAAAGAGGGGTGACTCAGTGGGGCAGCTTAGGACAGATTTTGATTTGCAAATTAGTGGTACTGGGAGTGAAATTATATATATCTTGCTGTCCAATCAATTTTTCCCTATTTCCACAAAGTCTTAATTGTATTGCAAGAAAGATAATTTCACTTCCAGTAGCATGAATTTGCAAGTCTGTTCCAAGTCAGCCCACTTTACAGTACCAAAACAGAAGCTGAAAGGGCTACAGGGGTGCATCCTTTCACTTGATTACATTCAGTTAAAATATCTTCAACCAAGTCATCCTGGGCAGAAAAGTCTTTCCAGAACCTCTAAGACTAAGAGGATTTTTCAATTAAAATTCGTTCAGGAATTTCAAGTTTTTCCTCCAGGAGAATAAGAAACCCCCCCCAAATTCTGATTTTGCAATGAGATGAGAATTTCTCCTGTGGAAGAGCATGAGGAACTCCACCAAGACTGCCAGTTTCTTATATCTGAAATTCTGTGTGGTTCTTTTCACAGTCAACAGGGATTGCCCCTTCATTCTGAATGACAAGAATAGATATAGACTGTTCTGGTTCCTAGATGTTCAAGTTGGGAACAGCTAGCTGTAGGCTTTCAATGGACTCCTGCATTCCAAGTATGGGGCAATTTCATATGGTATTAAAGTCCTTTTTGTTGCTACATTCAAGGATTGATAGTGTCCACTGAATGATTTCCGGCTCTCCTTGAAGGGATCATCTGGGATGAAGGTTTTCCCTGCATGTGGCTTAACTGGACTAGAACAAAGTTCCAAGGGTATTCCCAGGATTGGAAGGAAATGATGGCTTCCAGCAAACCTAAATGCATTAATTGCATGTTGGATGTCTCTCATGATCTCTATTCAACTAGGAGTGATTTCATTTTTCTACTTACCTAAATTTAAAATTCCTGTTATAAAATGCTTCATTGTTCATTTGAAAGAGCTTTACTGAGTGGTATAATGCAGAATGTCTTGTTGGACTCCCCATACCAACACAAAGGGAGTTCCATATAATTCCTGCAGAAATGCATGGATAAACAACTTGTCCCATAGTTAAGTGCCTCACAACCGCCGAAGGATACCCTAGGAGTACAACCCAGGGATATCACTGATGTTAACCATTTTGAAATTGTAATCAATTAAATAGGGATAAACCCACCATGATAAACCATTGGGACACATGATCGTGTATCATCTCATGTATTGTGTGTTGGATGAACAAGAAATATCCAAAAAATGACAAACTTTTTCTTGGGTCAGTCCTTGTCTTTGACTCCTGCTCTCAATTAAATGTATTTCTCCACAGGTTGGGTAGACAGTTTATTGGTCCATTTAGATCATCATTTAAAATCTTTTTTTAAAATTCTACTGAGCATATTCCTCTTAAGATAACCTTGCTCTAGCATACCAGTTATTTCATTTCAAAGTACAGATCCTTAGATTGATTGTTTGGTTAGTTACATAATTGCAACGGAGAAAAGAGCAGGCCTAGTTTTAGGTAAGTGCTAAGCCCCTAAAAGCCTAGGCCAAGGTTTTCTAACAGACATAAGCCTACATTTGACCAAGCATCTAGTAACCCTGGCTAACCAGTGTTAACTGAATGCTTCCTTTCTTCTTTCTTGCAGATCATATTGAAAAAAATAGAGCCTGTGAGGCTTTAAAATCTGAGCTGACAATGTAATGTTCAGGTGATGGAGATAAAGGATGGGCCAGTGGAACTGCAGCTTGAGTTTCTTCATATTTCAGTGAAGTGAGAGATACTTTAGCAATGGCTGACTGTAGTGTTGCAAATGGGCCTCCTAACAAGAGACCTAAACTCCATCACCATTTTGGGAGTCCTCCAAGTAATCCTTCAGGTGAGTGCAGAGTCTGCTTTTCCTCCAGGTTTTTCATGAGTTTTCTTTTGTGATTGATATGTGTTCTCTGGTGGTTTCTTTCCAGATGTGTTTAATCATCTATGGGAGATTGAAACGAGCCTTCCCAATGAACTCATGAACAAAAACTCCTGGGACGCAATAGAACAGGGCACTAAATCTCAACAGGTTCACCAAAGTACCTTTGAAAGCATCCAGAAAGGGGCCAAAATGAATGTTGGATGCACATCTGTCATTTCCACCTATCCAACTGTAGTGCAGCCACTGGGGCTCAGCAGTCTGACATACAAGGAGGAGAATAAAGGTCCACAGCTAGTGCAGCAAAATTTGTCAGGTCTCATACTACCCGGGCAGCAAGGACAGCCAGCCCTTAGTGTGTCTATTGCTCAAGATGCATCTGATTCCCTGGCATGTGTACCAAATGTCCCTGTGAATGCAGGATCTTCTGGGCAAATTGACTTTCCCATTGGGTTGATTAAAAGAACACATGCTAATGTTATTGCTGGAGACGAAGTGGTCAATAATGAGATTGTGGCTATGGCAAATGGTTCAATTCTCACACAAGCCATGTCTACTCTTCAACAGCCTCTGCTTCAGCTAGATGATCAACAGCAATGGGACTGTGACCCCTTCATCTTTCCTGAAGTACAACTGCAGGTATGGCTCCTTCCACCTTATTTTATATCTCTGTATTTATAATGAGCCTAAATTACGGGTTCCTTGACAATGAATACTTTCATGCTACAGGGAGTTGAAGGAGAGCTTATCAGTCAGATCAGTGGAGTAGGAGCCAACTGCAACAATGAAGTGAGTGGTATTATCTTTGTGGTGGTATATATGCAAACTCGGAATATAATAATACTGAGAGCAATATCAATTCTTTATCACCATAACATGAGAGTCACAGTTTATTTCCCCACTTTGTCTTGCAGGACAACAAATTGGGTGTACCTTCCCATGAAAAAGAGCAACATCCTCAAAGGACGGAGAAGTTGGATCCTCTGTCAGAGGAAGGACCAACTACAAATTGTGAAACAGTTCATTGCACAGATGAGATGAAGCATTCCATTGAGTCATTTGTGCATGCTTTGCAATGCTGGGATGCCAACTGCTGCCACCCACGCTGCCCAAAGATGAAGCAAGCTTTGTCTCACACCAAAGAGTGCAAGAACATTGGCTGCAAGACCTGCAAACAGCTAGTCATTATCTGCTGCCATCATGCCAAGTGTTGCCAGGTCAGTGGTAGAAATTTGCTGTCCTATCTCCAAGATGGGAATTATGTAAACCTTGCATATGTTAATTTCTCTTGGGAATTGAATCTTTCACAGGAAAATGGCTGTCAAGTGCCTTGCTGTAAAAAAATTAAGCACAAATTGGCACAGCAGCAAATGCATCCACACATTCAGCAAGATGCACAGATGAAACAACATTTGGGAGCCATGACATATGGAGTTGAATGGAGCTCACCCAGTTCCTCAAGTTATGGGCATTGCATCCCCCTTCCTGTTCGCATGGGAGGAATGCATACAAAAGCCTTGGGGATGAGTGGGACATCCATTATCTGTTCTTCTCCTGGTCAAATGATTTCAAGCCATCCTACCCCTGGAATTTTGTTGGAACCTGTCACGGGTGGTTCATCTGCTTCCAATGCCCAATTGCAACAAATCATCAGACAGGTGCTGGTCCAAAATTGAACTTTTGTGCTTCAGCTAGTAACTACTTGCAGTCTTAAAGCTTTTCATCTTTGCTGTTTGCCAGGTGCAGGAAGAAGCCAAAATCCAGGCAGCATTCACAAGCATTGATTTCAGTGGCATAAACACAAGCATGAAAGCTCATAATCCAGCAGGACCTATTTCATGGAATCCATTTGGGCAGATAGGCAATACACTCATGGTGACTCACTTTCAAAATCAAGGAGGTGGAGTGTCACCTGCAGGGAAGTGCACCACTGGAATTGAGAAACCATCCAGGGTTCCTAGTAATGATAATGCCATAGACCATCAATTCCAGGTTCAACCACCAATGCAAAGCATCAGCCTGTCAAGGCCCATCATTGCAGCTTCTATCAGTGGTCCTACTGCACCACTGACACCAATGCTACAAACAACTATTACTACTACCAATCAGATCAAACGATGCATGCAGACATTGGTGCATGCATGTCAATGTCGGGATGCAAACTGCTGCCTCCCAAGCTGCCTAAAGATGAGGCGAGCTTTGGCCCATGCCAAAGGGTGCAAGAAAAAGGTCAACAATGGTTGTCAGATCTGCAAACAGATGATTACTCTCTGCTGTTACCATGCCAAGAATTGTCAGGTTAGTGGTTGTATCTTGCCATCTCACCACCAAGATGGGATTAGTGTCAGTCCTGCATGTAGTTTACATACAAATACATTTTCTCTTCATCCTCCAGGAGAAAGACTGTCGAGTGCCATTCTGCAACAACATCAAGCACAAGTTGAAGCAGCAGCAACCAGCTGCTCGCATCCAGCAAGATGCCTTGACGAGGCGGCGCATGGCAGCCATGGCATGTGGCATGTCTGGAAGCTCTGCCAGTTCTGCCAGTCATGGTCATTGTGCACCCAATTCTTTGTCCATGGCTGGAGGGCATACGAAAGCCTTGGGCGTTGGTGCTGCACCCATGCCCATGCCCTCTCCTGGTCAGATGATGCCAAACCATAAGGCACCTGGGGTTGGGATGAAACTACTTGGTGGTCCATCTTCTGCACTGAACATCCAACAGGTATTAGATTGATTGGTGCCTTTGTACTCTTTTGTTGTAGATTTGTTTTTAGGAGAGTTTTTGTCTTTGAACTCAGGTGCAAGAACAAGCAAAAATGCAAGCTACATCCAGTAGCATGATAAGCTTTGGAGGCATGAATCCAAGCATGAAAACTCAGGGTCAAGCTGGATCGACGATTGGGAATCCTGCTGGTCTGCAAAAGTCTGCTTCTACTCCAATGATGGCTGGAGTTTCAAATCAGGGCAGTGGTGTTGCACCAAGGGGAGGTCTCCTTGATATGGACCAATGGCCTGGAAATGAGGGACAACCTGGGATCCCTGGTAAAGATAATGTCATTCACTACCAACCCCAGGTTCAACCTGCCATGCAAGGCATGAGGCCACCAGGGCCCATGGTTGTGACAGGTCCCGGTGGCCCAATTGTTGCTGCTGGTAATCCCAGTGCATCAGGGAACAACCTAGCTGTTCTTCAGCAGCTTTTGAAGACTCTGAAGAATCCATCAACTCCTCAGCAACAGGATGAAGTCCTGAAACTCCTCAAATCCAATCCTCAGGTAATGGCTGCATTCATCAAACGTCAGAAACAGCAACAACAACAGAGGCAACAACAACAACAACAGCAACAAGTAATGGTACAACAGCAGCAGCAGCCACCACAACAACAACCACCACCTCACATGAATCCAATGATGAACAAGCAGGCTGCCACCTCCCAGTGGATGCAACAGCAGCAAAAGCTCTTACTCTTGCAAAGACTGCAACAGGCACAGCAGCAGCAGCGACAGCAACAGCAAGAACCGCAAAGGCAACAGCAAGAGCTGCAACAGCACCTACTTGACATGCATCCAGCAATAAATCAGTCTGGTCCACCTCCCCTGGGAATTGCACAAGCTGGCCCAAGGCCAGCAGGAGCATCAGGAACAGCTCTTGAATTAGCTCCCCAAGAATTTTTACCTGGAGCATCTGCTTCAGCACCAACACATGGAGAACAAAATAGGTTAAACTTAGCATCCAGAGAAGTCACACAAAGACCAGCACCAGGAGGAACACCCCCCCTGAGGCTAGCAGGACCTTCCACTCCAGTACTTGGACCACTTACCCCTAACTCTGTACCCAGACCAGTTACCCAAAGCCCCACACTTGGACAAACTACTCCAGCACCAGTGCATGGAGGACAAGCCAGTCCAGGGTTAGCCCCAGGGGGACCAACTGGTCCAGCAGCAAGGGGAACGGTGTCTCATCTACTGAGTTCTTCTCCAGGTATGGCACGCACCTTCAAAAGTTATTCTTCAAATATGTACTAGTTCTTAGGATTGCGACATCTTGTTAGTTTTATGAAAATTGAAAAATGTGCATGACCTCAAAATTTGTATTATTCACATGGAATCGCATTAACAGGAAAGGTGATCAAATCCTTCACATGTTGTAAAGTCCTTATGTTCTCCCTGCTGTAAAGTAAAAAGTAGACCCATATGTCAGGAGTATTTTTTTTTTATACTGGAGGACCCCAAATTAGCAGAAATAGCTTAGAGACTGCTGCACCTGAAGTATTAATTAAGAACTACTGCACATTTTTGCATGCTTTAATTTTTGAGACAATTTCCTGATTTTATGATTCTCAGTAACATATTCATTCTCTTGCGCAGATATCCCACTCCAGTTCCAATGCGTGATCTGCATGAACGAAGAAGTTTCTATGGTCTTCCTCCCTTGCCGGCACATGGTGATATGCGACAGGTGTGATAAACAGCTGAAGAGAGTGTCCCCCGCCTGCCCGTCATGCAGGGCACCCATAAAAAGGAGACTTCGTGTGTTTCGCCCGTGATTGCTTCACCATTTCATTTCATTCAGTTTGAACAAAAAGTTTCAGATTTTCAGGTACATGAATTGTTCTTCCACATACTGTTGCATGACTTGACAATCCTCTGATAGGTAACTAAGCACTGAGCCAATTGTAAGCATCCCCATTGATTCACAAGGCTTGACTCTTTCCAGTGTCTATAATAAAGTTTCAGGAAGTCAATATTCGACTGTGCCTTTGCGCCCCAGTCTGTTCTGTGCCTCGGCATGACTGGTAGAAAAATAGCTGGAATAGGAGTCACGTGACATCGATACCAGAAACAGGATCTCGCGTCATAATGGGCGTGAGATCATAAAATGTTATCAGGCGAAATGAATCTCGTAGTTTCTCTTACACCAGGGTATCGGGGTCATCAAGGTCTATTTTCGCATTAAATCTTCATGGCGAACTGGGATTGATTCACACTTGGACAGGGTGGCCACGAAGTCCAAATGTATCATCACTATGGACTATCTTTTATTTCATGGCATTGCTGTGGGTGATAATGAGAGACATCAACATGACGGAAGAGCGGGTGTTGACAATGGGCCTGTGAGAAAGGTCTTACCTATGCAATGGTATTTTGAATGATTTCCAAGAAAGATTCCAGAAACTTGGAATGACAGAGATGAATCTCATCATCGGGGAAGAGTCCGAATGGAAGAGATTCTGGTTTGAAAAATGAAGGAATCTGTTCTCCAAAGGAAGGTTTCGAAAGCGATTATCCGAAATTTATGAGCCAATATGATGGGGTTCGCCTTCCGTGCAGGTTTCTTCTTTCATTTTTGGAAGTCATTTCGAAATACCAAATTTTGTTGGTGTTTTTGTTGTTATGGCTTTTCTTACGGACCCGTGCCATTGCCAGCACACACTCTTCAATTTTTTCTGGGTCTGATGCCACTCACAGTCACCTTCAGCTGTAGCTCACGGTCACCTTCAGCTGCATCTAGAAACATAAAACATTTCAGGTGCATTCGGACTTCGGAGCCATATGTGCGGCAGACGAATCCACAAAGACAATCCATCCGGTATGCGCGATTGTTGTCAGATTTCGCATTCACGTTGGCAACCAACAAAACATTCCTCATGCATAATTCAGTTCAAAACGTATCACTTCCATGTCCTGCTTGAGCTCCTCGTTCGCATGCAGGCCGCGTAGCCTTATCTTTTTGCCATTCCAGGAACATCTAAGCTGATTGCATCTGTTCTCCGGTGATAAAAATAATTGAAGTAGCAGAGAGAACATATGCACTTGCTTGCGCCTCGCGCGTTTCTCCGAATCCATTCCAAGGCTTACTTCGATCTTTCCTGTCTCCCTTGGAAAAGTGGCTTTCTCATTCTTAACCATTTTGCTTTCCCCATTCCCAATTGGACGTGGGTCGGAAAAAAATATATATTACATGCCATTTCCCATAGGCACTACGGGGAAATGGCAAGTATTGCGATCGGTCTGTCACTCTTTTTCCATTCCGTCTGTCCGCAGTATCCATTGCAACCGGACAACTCATGCCCATGCCCGGCTTTCCGTCTGGGTCGGGTTGCCAATCTCCAAACAAAACTTCCCTTCCAGCCCTCGCGGCATGACGGATCCTTTGTAGACAACGAGAGAGAGTGGCTCGGAGTGGCTGCTCGCGATAGGGTTGCTGGGAGTGTGCATGAAATGCCGCATCTGGCATCCTATACTTCATACTCTCCTCCCATCTCCACGTGACACGGACGCACGAACCATCGAGAACATTGTCTAGTTGTCCGGGACTTCTCATTCATGCCTACGACGTACTCATGACAGCTATTATTTATTTCAAGGTTGGATGATTGGGATGAAGCGAAAAAGACACGAGTCGTAATTTTAGTGGTATCTGTACCTGGACTGGTGCTCTAGTTAATCATTCTTCACGTATTTCGCCCGTAAATTCATTCAAGAGGGACTCGTTTGGAAGCTGGGGATCCACCTAGACATTGCCAATTCAATCGTGACAGTGGCAGCAAATCAGTTTTCTAGTTACGATTGGAAAAGAAATTGAAATATGAGGAAAATGTGTATATTTGGTGACGTAATGAATGCTTTTTGTGCAAAATGAACCCAGTAAATACAGAAAGGGCTCTCCACAAAAAGTAAGAATTTCGCTTTTTTTTGCTCAGTGTTTCTGAGTTGCGAAACTCATTTTTTTTTTTTTAAGCCAGGACATGCGGCGGGCACATGACAATGGGACGTATTGCGATACAGTGGGAGGATGGGGGCTGCCTGTTTGGCACATGCACCACAACCGAGACCGCAGTTCCTCGGGGTGGGACTCAATGGTCCTGAAGGAGGCTTTACGGCCAGCTCAAGGGTTGCCTTGGCTCATGACTGCCACAAGTGACTATTATAAGGTACTGCACCCGTGTCTCCTAGATAAAGCACACAAGGGGAGGGGGGGGTCTCTGTGTTACACCACCTGCTTTCATTGAAAGTAATAGCTCCCCATGAAAGCGGGTACCTGTCGACAGGGAAGAGCCCGCCGTAACCCTAACTCTATCCCCGGCCTCTCGGTTTTCACTGTACCTTCTCAAATACCGTTCGGTTCAGTTTTTTTATTTTTGGCGCGTTAATCGATCACGAGAAATCTCAGTGGAAAGTTCAATACACAAATAAATTTTTATGGAAAGGAGAATTTCACAACTTCCAGGGTGTGTGACCGCCAGAGACGAGCGGATCGGCCGCAAGAGTGAAAGTGGAAAACGACTAAAAATAAAAATAAAAATGAAAGTAAAATAAAATAAAGAAAATTAAAATAAAAGTAAAATAAAATAAATTGCAATGCGAAAGCGTGAGCTGGAGCCGAACCGAACCAGGATCCGAACACAACGGAGTCCACGATCCCAGTTGCTCTTTCCGGATGGGATTCACCAGTACTGGTTGGAGTCCCTCTGTCCTTTGAAAGCAATAGACTCGATCAACTTGTACGAACCTGCGAGCAACCGAAATGCCTTTCCCCGGGGAAGATGATTTTGGACGAGGAAAAAAAAATTAGAAAAAATATTCATTCAGAAAATGGAGCACGGAAAATTGCGACGAAAGGATACATGTAACGAATGGGATTTTCAAGTAAAAAAAAAAAAGAGGATAATCAAATTTAGATCCCTTCCGTCATGAGTAGAGATCATCGAACTTCAGGAATACGATTGGGACCGAGAAGCCAGCTTCCTCATCCACTGCAGGGTACTGAGAACGTCGCGAATCGTCGCGAATCCCGCTGGCCCGTTTTGCGAGTTTCGTCGAGATCCTGTGAATTGGATCACCCGATTCTCTGCCGTCATCTGGAATATGATTTATGAAACACGACCGTATACCTTTATCGTACCGGTACCTGGAGAACTCCTATTGCGCTTCATCACGTGAGATAATGAAAATATCGAAGGCAGGAACGATTTCTGAATGAATGACTCGAGAAACCCGAGGAAGCGAACGGAGTTCGAATGGAGACAAGTCACGTGGTTCCCACCTGCAGAGTTAACGCTGTATACACTGTAAAAAAAAATAATAATGGTACAGACTGGAACCCTTCTTTAGTTCTACCCCCTTGAAAAGGTTGCAGGTACTGCAGAACCATATGAATTGGTTCCAGCACAGATGTAGAACCATATGAAAGACCATCGCTCTTGTAGAACCTCTGGAACCGCCCATTGGTTCTAGGTACGACCATTTCTTGTGCTTTCTCAAAATGGTTCGAAAATGGGACTTCAAGGCTCGATACGTAAATTTTTTTTTTCGCCATTCGCTCCGAACTCTTCCCCCCCCCCCCACCGGCCGTGGCACTCCCTTTCTGCTACCATGCCTTAATACGCCACTTCTTATGCCCTGGGGGCTGGCACGCTTCGTGAAGCCTGGATCGAAGGTGACGCCAGTTTCGATTGGTTACAATTCTCACTCCTTGTCTCGTCCAGAATCCTCAACACGTGATGATATGGGAATGATGATACGGGCAGGAATGACCTCAAGACAACTATTTGGTCCCTATTTTTTTGATGATCCCGGTAAACGGCATAACTTCCGAGCATATGTTGAGAATCCGGCCGGTACCACGACATCACCAGCTGCGATATCGGGGCCACCGCCTGATCTAACGACTCCAGACGACTCTCTGTGGGGCTTACATCGAGGAGAAAGTGTCGGCAAAACCGGTAAAGGACGACTGGAAGAAAAGAAGAACCGCTTTCGCACGGGTGATGCCACGAATGCGACGAGTTCGGTTTCGATTAATTATTGTAAGTACTGCACAATATATATTGTATATTAAAAGAGTTTAAGAACGATTGCTTCACTGGGGACGCGACTTTCGGCCTTTCGAGGAAAACGGGCTGAAGCATTCGCTTGCATAAAAGCCTTTCTCTCTTAGTGCGAGAAATAAGCAGCTCACTCTGCGAAAAATAAAAGGAAAAATAAAAGGGTAAAAAAAAAATGTTTATTGTTCTGGGGTGAAACCTTCTTGGAACCATTTAATGGTCCTATAGAGAGAACCGGTGTTTTAACAAAAAAAACTGTGCCAAATCATTTTCGCTATTAATGACAGTGAATTTCATCAGCTCAACTTAATTTTTTAACACTGCATGTAGATAGAGGAAAGAAGGCATGTGCCAAATTTTAAGAAAATTGACGCATTGTATCACGTTCTATGCCATTTCTAACTTGATATGTAAAAAAGTGTGCCATACAAGCTCAAAAAACTGTGCCAATTCGTTATTTTTATAGGAATGATAGTAAATTTCATCCGATCGGCCCAATATTTCATAAACACATGTGGATAGATGAAAGAAGGCTTTTGCAAATTTAAAAAAACGATATTGACCGAATGCACCACGTGATACCCCGTTTAAAACTTGAAGGTTAAGAAATGGCAACTGGACGTGACGCGTTCGTCGCAGCCGTGCAGCAAGTGAGTGTCTGCGTGCCATCCAGAACGGCAAATGCTGCATAATCATTCAAATGCCTGTCACCATGCTTGACTTACTTTTCTGGCAATTAACTCGTTTTGACTTCTTCATAGACCATAGTCAGTTACTGTTACTCCAAGAACGCAGGCTTCATGGTGTTTATATGCACACTTGTTACTGAAGGTGAAAGTTTCAATGTTATACATTTTTACTTTCACAAAAATTGTCATTATTATTGCTATTTCATGACAAAACTTGACTTTTTCATGGAGGAGGAACTACTTCATTTTGAAGAGATAACTCACAAAATAGGTGGTAACAAAAACTATTTCTTATGACTAATAATCCGAAGAAGGAATATTCAAGGAGTTGTCCATTCACAAGAATGGTAATACTGGTATGATAATATTTGGTATCAAGCATATCCTCTGGTAGTAGTACTTTCTCTGTTTTTTACTGCCTAGCAGTGGCATAGCAATGGGGGGCCAGGGTGGGCACATGCCCCCACTTTACACAAAAAAAGCGAGAAGCATTAATAAGAAGGAACAGAATCATGAAATGCATAGTAACAGTGTCCCAGAGTTCCCATACCCCCCCACTTTTTTCATCCTTGATACACTTATGCTAGCTAGGGAGGGTAGGGGTTCGAAAAAAATATTTGGGGAAATTACTTTAAAGGTTATACATAGCTAATATTTCTTGTACAATGTAACAGGTGAATAAAAAATACCTCATGCAGTGGCATACTTTACAGGGGGTTGGAGGTGCAGCTGCCCCCCACCCCCACCCCCACCCCCACCCCAGCACCCCTGGGAGAGGGTTTGGTGCCCCCTTGATTGTAATATTTTACTGCCCAAATATCACTCAGGTGGGGTTTGATGACCCTGATGACCGTTTAGAAGTGTTGGGACTGTTTAGTCTATTCGGCCTCAAAAGACACTTACGGCTTCGATGTGACAGGTCAAGGGGGAGCCTCGGTCATTAAATATCATTTATGCTCCTCATCTAAGACATGGTGAATGGAGGAATTTTCCTTGAAAATCAGGGTTGCCGACTTTCTTTCGTTCAATCGGGTGAAGCGGGACCCCAATGGATCTCTCTCAGCTGACTGAAAGGTGCTTTCCTTCATCTGACAACACTGAAGCGTGTCATAAACCTTTAGCCTCCCAATGACCTACCAGACGCCAAATGTACACATATCTCTTTGACTTCTTGCTTCTCACTCCGTCCATCCAATCTTTTATCTTCAACCAAGTGTGTCTTTTGCTGCCGAATAGACTATACTCGAGAGAGAGAGAGAGAAGGTTAAGGAGGGACGATCTCATCCAGGCTTTCAATATAATTAAAGGAATAGATAATGTCGAGTGTGGTAGGTATTCCAGTTCGATGGCAGCGAGAGAACGAGCGATAAACTGAAGTTGCGCAAACCGCAGGTGCGGCTCAGGTCGAGATTCCGAATCTCACCGGTACTCATCTAATTGGAGTCAGTACATATATGATATAATGGGGCCCTTTTACGTACACGGAGAACACATAATCCCATTCGGCGGCCGCGCCCACACCGCAAAAGGGTCAATAGTTACCAAGCCAGATTCATCATTGTAAGACCTGATACCCAACCCAGTCAGTGGTCTTTCATAGTGTACGAATCCTGAACACATTGACCATGTCATGACAATGAATCCCATGCCTCATCCTCTCCTTGACGCCATCAGTAATGGCCGCCAGCCCTTCAAATCGGCGTGAAATCTTCGACTGCCATGTCCAGTCTAGGTATATTTACCATGTCTCTGAATCAAACTATGTACTGGAAACGATGAACCGCATGCATAGCCACGTTATCAATGGGAGACCTTCCTTGCAGTCTATTTATACAAAAAAGGCTCTAAGTTTTCAATTTTCCATGTAGAACGATGTAGAAACACTGGATCGGACTTCGATGGACAATCCCAGATACACGTTAGATAGGCCTAATCTAGCCTACGTGAGTTCGGCGTGGGGAATGAAATTTCAGAACCCAGGAACGATGTCCAACACTTCACCTGCTTTATTGAAATATTATTAAGGAAATCAGTAATGGGTGAAACGAAAGCCTAGTTTTTCACTACGACACTAAATTATCATTTCAACATACTGTGTATTTGGGAAGGTTCATATTGATTTTCCTCTCTTCAGCAGGAAATTAATCATCTTCGTTGTCGCCAATGTCATCACAACATATGCACTTAAGAATGTAACTCCTAGTTTCTGCGTCGATCCGCTATATCACCCTCACCATGCACCGTTGTCGAAGTCGAGTGAAAAAATGTCTAACTCAAGTGAAAAAGCACTATTGAAGCATTCTCTCCTTAGAACTAATGGAGACGGTTCGAGGAACTCAAGATAGGCCTAACCTTCCTCGTCCGCACAGAAGTGGTTCATGAAACTCGAAACATACCTCTAATCAGTTTAACGTTACACGTCCTCCCTTAAAAGAGCCAAGAAAGGCTGGGTAGGCGTGCGATTGGCCTAACGTTACACGACCTCGACGAGATCTCTTCAAGATCACGGATTAATCCTCATAGGCCTAATTGACCCCGCAAGTCGAGGATTAACTTTCTTTTAAAAGAAAAAAGGTAGGCCTTTGCATGACCAGAAGACAGTCGGTCGGTTAGGCCAAGGCCTAACGTTAGTGAGTTCTGTAGAGAAGGGAGGAGGAATGGGTGAGGTTGCCCTTGAGGTTTAGGTTGAGGTTAGTATGGAAGAAAGGCAGGTGCGGCTCAGGTCGAGACAGGAATTCTTTACTTGCAACGTGGTGATCGCGTGGAATGCGTTAGATGACGTAGTGGCTGCCCCTTCTGTGACTATTTTTAAGAAGAACCTGGATGCTTTTTTATGGACAGGCAAAAAGGTAGAGGGCAGTGTTGATGTTAGGGACTAGGCAGTAAGCAACTAGGATACGTTAAAAATAAATAAATTAATTAAATAAATCCCCAAAATACAAAAATATTTAGCTTTAAGAGCAGTGGCGGCTCGTGGGTAAAAAAAAAATTGTGTAGGCAGCAGTGGTACAAAAAAAAAAGAGGGGAGAGGGATGCGGTCACCCCCCTCCCCCCCAATGATTCCTTTGCACCCCATATGATCCCCATTTCTATCCCTATTGACCAATGGTACGTCCTCCTACGATAGTAGCATGCACATTCGCTTCTCTCTCAACCTTGCTCAGCGTCCCCTCCCCCACCCACCACTCTCCAGTCTCTTCTGAGGGTCCACCCCCCCCCCCCCCATCCCTTTGCTACAGGCTTGACATAAGTTTAGTATTTTTGCATTCAAAAATTGTAAGTCCAATTCTAACATAATCAGAACTATCCATCAAGGAAATTACTTGCATCTTAGAGGAAAAGTGACGATTTAAACCTTCGATGAATGCAACTATATCATTGGAAGACACCCCAGGGATGCGAAGCACTTTCAACCAAGCAACACATATCACATGGAAACAGTGCCTCTTCCAGGAGTGAGCATCAACGAAAGTGGGGTTGGAATAGGGAACTGAGACTGATAGAAGCCTGTTCGGAATGATTCCTTATTCAGTCTGCATAATACTGTAGAATAGGTCTGATCAGGTGTGACACCACAGAGGCTTCCACAAGCACGTGCTTCTGAGCAGAGGGCGTGAGCAAGCGATTCTCAACCTTCCTTCCTGCGCAAAGAGTAACTGCGCACCGTAGGCAAGCCTAACTCCACTCATTCCAGTGTTGTGGTTCTCATACCTCTTTCCCTCCTCTCGTTCCTGCATTGGGCTGAAGGAAAACAGAGCTAGCCAGCGTAGGCAGGCAGCGCCGTGCCTATACTGGACGCATAATCGCAGTTTGCTTTTACTTCGCAATGGAAAAAAGTATTTCCAGCTGTGCTAATCGAAGAATTAATTAGCAAATATTAATTTGAGAACTCTCATTTTAAACTGGGTTTTGACTCCCTATCATGACGAGCCGCCATTGTTTAAGCTTAGGCCTTCAATAAAATTAAGGAATGCTCCACCCGACGCATGATATCGAAATGACTGTAATCGCCTCTGGATATCACTATCTGCCTTGATGTCAAGAGGGGCTTTGCGTATAGGCCTATTGTCAGTTACATAACTGATGACATAATATTTGGCTTTGATGAATTTGAAAAATTTATTTGAGTGTGAGAGAATTAAAAATGCAAGCTGGCAGGCTAACATTCTCCATCACCTTGTGATGGGAATTAAAGATGGGGGGTGCAGTAGAGCCGCAGCTGAAGTTCTTTCTTGTTTCAGTGACAGAAAAAGTTGAGCCATGGCTGAGCGTAATCTTGCAGGTGGGCCTCCTAATGAGGGACATGAAGAGCAAGACCCCTTTGGGAATCCTTCCAATGATGCTTCAGGTATGGACAATGGCTGTTCTTTGTGAGTTTCAAACCATTAGTTTCCAAGAACTTACATATGTGATACTGTCTGTGTTTTTGCAGATATGCTTCAAATTCCATTGGAGATTGGAAGTGGCCTTCCTGAACTCATGAACACAAATACCAGGGGCTCAGGCACAATAGATACAACAAACCAACAGGTTCCCCAAGGTTACTTTGTGAATATCCAATATGGGGCCATGATAGGCATGGGAGGTGGACCAGTGATTGGGAATCCTGCTGGTCTGCAAAACTCTGTCTCTACTACAGTGATGGCTGGTGTTCCAAATCAGAGTGGTAGTGCTATACCAATGGGTGGTCACCCTCATATGGAGCAATGGCCTGGAAATGAGAGACAACCTGAGGTCCCTGGTAATGATAATGCCATCCACTATCAACCCCAGGTTCAAATTGCCATGCAAGGCATGAGGCCACCAGGGCCCATGGGTGTGACAGGTCCTGGTGGCCCAACTGTTGCTGCTGGTAATCCCAGTGTATCAGGGAACAACATACCTGTTCTTCAGCAGCTTTTAAAGACTCTGAAGAATCCATCAACTCCTCAGCAACAGGATGAGGTCCTGAGGCTCCTCAGATCTAATCCTCAGGTAAAAGCTGCATTAATCAAACGTCAGAAACAACAACAACTGCAAAGACAACATCAAGAGCGGCAAAGACAACAGCAAGAACTGCAAAGGCAACAGCACCTACCTGAAATGAATGCAGCAATGAATCAGCATGGTCCACCACCCCTGGGAATTGCACAAGCAGGCCAAGGAGCATCAGGAACAGCTTGTGAATTAGCTCCCCAAGAATTTTTACCTGAAGCAACTGCTTCAGCACCAACACATGGAGAACAAAATAGGTTAAACTTAGCATCCAGAGAAGTCACACAAAGACCAGCACCAGGAGGAACAACCCCCCTGAGGCTAGCAGGACCTTCAGCTTCAGAACTTGGACCACCTGCCCCAAACACTGTACCCAGACCAGTTGTCCCAAATCTTGTACCTGGACTAGTTACCCAAAGCCTTGGACGAACCATTCCAGCAACAGTGCATGAAGGACAAACAAGTCGAGGGTTAGTCATGAGGGAACCAGCTGCCCCAGCAGCAAGGGGAATGGTGTCTCATCTGCAAAATTCTTCTCCTCCAGGTATGGCACACACCTTCAAAAGTTATTCTTCAAATATGTACTAAGCCACATGTTTCAATTTTAATTAATTCTTAGGTGAGGTCTTTGCCATTCCTTAGAATGACATTCCCTGTTGGTTTTGTTATGAAATTAAAAAAATGTGCATGACCTCAAAATTTGTATTCTTCACATGGAATCACATTAACGGGAAAGGTGATCAAATCCTTCTCATGTTGTAAAGTCCTTTCTTATGTTCTCCCTGCTGTTAAGTAAAAAGTAAACTCCATATGCCAGGAGTAATTTTTTTTTCATACTGGAGGACCCCAAATTAGCAAAAATTGTTAAGAGACTAGAGCACCTGAAGTATTGAGAACTACAGCAAATTTTTGCATGCTTTACTTTTTGAGACAATTTCCAGATTTTATGATTCTCAGTAACATATTCATTCTCTTGCGCAGATATCCCACTCCAGTTCCAATGCGTGATCTGCATGAACAAGGAAGTTTCTGTGGTCTTCCTCCCTTGCCGGCACATGGTGATCTGTGACAGGTGTGATGAACAGCTGAAGAGAGTGTCCCCCATCTGCCCGTCATGCAGGGCACCCATTAACAGGAGACTTCATGTATTTCATCCGTGATTGCTTCGACCTGTAATTTCATTCAATTTAAACAAAATTCTTTCAAATTTTCAGGTACTTGAATTGTTCTTCCACATACTGCTGCATGACTTGACAATCCTCTAATAGGTAACATAGCACTGAGTCAATTGTAAGCATCCCCATTGATTCGCAAGACTTGACTCTTTCCAGTGTCTATAATAAAGTTTCAGGCAGTCAATATTCGACTGAGCCTTTGCACCCGTCTGTTCTGTGCCTCAGTATGACTGGTAGAAAAATAGCTGGAATAGGAGTCACATGACACCAATACCAGGAACAGGATCTCACGTCATAATGGGCGTGAGATCATAAAATGTTATCAGGCAAAATGCATCTCATAGTTTCTATTACTCCACTGTATCAGGGTCTTCGAGGTCTATTTTCGCATGAAATCTTCATGGCGAACTGGGATGGATTCACACTTGGACAGGGTGGCCACTATCTTTTATTTCCAGGCATTGCTGTGGGTGATAATGAGAGACATCAACATGACGGAAGAGCGGGTGTTCACAATGGGCCCGTGAGAAGGGTCTTACCTATGTAATGGTATTTTGAATGATTTCCAAGAAAGATTTCAGAACCTTGGAATGACAAAAGATGAATCTCATCATCGGGGAAGTGTCCAAATGGAAAAGAGGTTCGATTTTTTAAAATGACCTGCTTTGGAAGGAATTTGTTCTCCAAAGGAACATTTCAAAAACGATTATTCAAAATGTGTGCTTTGATATGATGAGGTTCGCATTCTGTGCATGTTTCTTCTTTTGTTTTTGGAAGTCATTTTAAAATACTAGGTTTTCTTGGTATTTTATTACGGCTTTCCTCAGACCTATGCCATTGCCAACACAAACTCTTCGATTTTAATGGGGGTGCCACCCTCAACTAAATGTAGCTGTCACTCACAGTCGCCTGCAGCTGTTGCTCACTGTCACCTTCAGCTGCATTTAGAAACAAAAAACATTGCAGATGCATTCAGACTCTAGAGCCATGTGTCTGGCAGAAGAATCCACTTAGACAATCCAACCGGTATGTGCTATTTGTTGTCAAAATGTGCATTCACATTGGCAGTCAACAAGACATTCCCCGTGTATAGTTCAGGCCAGAACGTATCACTTCCATGTCCTGCTTGAGCTCGTTCACATGCAGGCCGCATAGCCTTATCTTTTTGCCATTCCAGAACATCGCATCTGTTCTCTGGTGATAAAAAATAATTGAAGTTGCAGCGAGAACATGTGCTTTTGTGCATCGCTCGTTTCTCTGAATCCATTCCAAGGCATACTTCAATCTTTGCTGTCTCTCTTGGAAAGTGGCTTTCTCATTCTTAACCATTTTGGTTTCCCCAATTCTCATTCTTAACCCCATTCCCAACTGGACGTGGGAAGGAAAATTTTCATTATCTGCCATTCCCATAGGCACTATAGTGAAATGACATATTGCAATCGGTCTGTCTTTTTTTTTTTCCATTCCGTCTGTCCGCAGTATCCATTGCGACCGGACAACTCATGCCCATGCCCGTCTTTCCGTCTGGGTCAGGGTGCCAACCTCCAACTAAAATTTCCCTCCCAGCCCTCGCGGGATCCATAGTAGACAATAGGAGAGAATGTCTGCTCGCGACAGGGTTGCTGGGAGTTTTCTCATCTGTTTCCGAGTGGTTTCAGGGGTTCTATGAGTGAAACCGTGTCGGTTAAGGCTCGCGTACGTTCCCCATTCGTTCGGCCATATCTCAGTGCCTGGGAGAATGCGCTGCTGGACGATGGGCGTCTGTCGATTTCTCTCGGGAACGAGGAGACGCGAGTCGTTGACACGGTTGTGGTGTCGGACCGTTCCGAACACCCGCGGACCACTGCATTTACTTGGGTTCGCAAATTTTCCCCAATAAAAATTCGAGAATGTTCTTTGAAATTCATCTGAGGAACCCTTTTTAACTTGTTTTTGTTTTCAAAAATAAAGTAAATGATGCTCACCGAAAGTACCTTTCGTCGATTGGATGATTTCACCCGGCCCTCAAATGAGTTCCGCCGCTTCGGCACTTGTCGCGCTTTCTGCTGAAATGACGCCAATCGATATACGGGGAACGCAGCTCAAAACCCCAGCTGATGGTCGCGTCGAGCGCCCTTCTTCATTTGATGACGCGAATTTGGAAGTTTGTCGCACGTTCACGAGAAGCCCCTGGGAAGGAGGTTCGTGGGGACGGAGATGCCTCTCGCCGGGAAGGATCGTCGTTGGGAATGGGCAAAAATATACATTCAAAAAACAAATTTTCGAGAAAATATTCCTGAAGAAGGTGGGGCACGGGAGAGAACGGGAATTCGTCGCGAATCCAGCGGGGTTGTTTTGGCGTTCCGTCGATCCTGCGGATTCGAACCACCCGATTCTCTGCAGTCATGCGGGAATACATACTTTGTGAGGCCCGATCGCATGCTATTTATCGTACCGTTACATGGAACACTTGTGGTCGGGCTTCGTCACACGAGATGATGGAAACATCGAAGGTTGAAACGATTTCTGAATGAACGACTCGAGAAACGCGAGGAAGCGAATGGAGTTCGAACGAAACAAAGTCACGAGGTTCCCGCCTGCAGAATTCACGTTGTACATATTGCTATTTCTCCCGCGGATAGGGAAAAGGGAAAGGGAAAGAGAAGCATATGAACGAATGCCTCGACTGATTTCCCTCTTTGGATGCCAACGCACTGGACCAGTCCAGTCTGGTCCAGTCTGGTCTAGCCTGGTCCAGTCTGGTCCAGTCTGGTCTAGTCTAGTTACGATCAGTCGAGTCAAAACGTTTAGAGTCCCATTGCTCATGCAATGACATCCCCTTCACACACATAATTTATTGCATGTTGAGCTATGCAGCTCTTAAACATTTTGACTTGACGAATCGTGATTAGACTAGATTAGACTGATCCTGTGAGACACCCTTAGTCTTTCTGCATCTGTGCATAATAAGGACGTTGGGGGGGGGGGGGTTTGCTCGATGACGTCTTGAGCGAATGGGTACGAAAACCGCTTTCAATGAAATCTGGAAACTCCCGTCAGTAGTTCACCATTTCCTGACACGTCAGTCATGTCAAAAATCTCTGGTCCAACCTTTTGCAGACGGGGAAATCGGTGAAAGAACACAATTATGCCCGTAAACGACAGACTTTTTCCTGACAGCTAAGGAAAATCGCTATTACTCTTCGCTCGCCTGCATATCCTTCCCGGGAAATTCAGATTCGTCTCCTCGGGTTCCTGGGAAGAAAATCTGATTTTCCTCTGGGGCAATGTGGGAGTGTCGGACATTAAGTAATGCGACGAAAATAATGGATTTTTTATGTCGAGTGTCGAATGTATCAAATGAATGAAATCCGAGACGGTTTGATAGAAGGAGGCAGGAGAAAGAGGAAAAATTTAGCAAGTCATGAGACTTGAAATGAAATGCATATAAATGACATATCAGGCATACAAGTGAAAGAACGAAATCCGTCTCGGAAAGCGTCGATGTCTGGGGGGAAACACAGGGTGACGCAAAAGTTCTTCACCCCCCCCCCCTCCCCCCCAAAAAAATTAATAATAATTAATATGGTATTTAATTAATTGATGCTCTTAAGGTAGCAAAGGTCACTTTATAACAGTGTAATTTTGTTATTGTTTTTATATCTGCAGCATAGTGAAATGGCAGAGAAAGACGCTTCACGCTGCAGCAACGTATTCTTATCGTAGAGGAATGGCTGAAGTCTTGGTAAAAAAAATTTTCCGGAGAAGCTCCAGAGCGGTCACGATATAAGATTTTAAAAAATTACACAGTTATAAAGGGACCTGAGAGCATCAGTTAATTAACTACCATATTTATTTTTGTCTGTTAAAGGAACTTTTGCGCCACCCTGTACTTTTGATTCCCGTCTCGGAACGGTCTGGTATCACGGAAGGAGCATTTATTGCGTTCCCTTTTCGTCATTCGCGATTTCATTCGTCCTTGATGGCCCTCGATTCTGCATCCCGTTACGGATCGATGAAGAATTAGAAGCGCTTTGAATCCGATCGCGTTCTGAGTTCGGCCGATTTTTGGGACGAAGTCGCTGCGTTCGAAAAAAAAAAGGGGAAAATGATGCTCGCCGAAAGGATCTCTCGTCGATCTGGATTATTTCAACTGGCTCTCTACAGGGTGGGCCGAAAAAAAAAACGCACCGATTTTCTCAGCTTGTATTTCAGGAATGTGCAGTATTTTAGAACCCCGGTGCTCATAAAAAAAGGGTGTTTCTCTAGCTTTAAAACGGTATCGCATTTGTCGACAAAAGATAAGAGGACAGTTTTGAACAGCCACTTCCCCAAACCCCTCGCGAAAAGTGAGCATGACCTTGAGCTCTCTGCGTTTCCGCTTACTGTCGGGCGGGCAGCTCGTCCGTTGCGTGCTGGAGGTTTGTGAAGCGTGTCGCTCCTCTTGGCGAGGCGGTTTTCAAGTGGCTTTCGTTTGTCCTGGAACTTCGGAGAAAGCGCTGATTAAGGCCTTGCGTGAGGGAAAACGATTCTCTATGAATTAAATGAGTTTTCTAGTCGTGGAAGGCAGCGTCACTTTTTTCTTCTTTTATAACAGTGATCATACGGAAATAAATAAAAAAAATGAAATTGAAATAAAATGTGCTTCATTCTAAAGCCAATTAAATGCTTTCCAATGAGTCCTTTTTCATTCCTCTACCTCTCTCCAGTCCTGAGAAATGAGCAGCAAAAATTGGTGCGGTTCTTTTTGACCCACCCTGTAACGAGTGCCACCACCTCGGCCTATCTCTCCGCAGAAATTGATTTTTTATTCTCGGGGAAGGCCTCCTCGAGCGCCACTGAAGGGCGAGGACGTCGCGAACGCGGAGTTCGGTCGCGAAAAGCCCCCGATCGGAGAAGAGATCGTTAGCCTTGAGAGACGAGAATCGGCTCGGCGACGGACAGGTTCACGTTTGCGAACGAGGGTAGGGTAGGAAGAGCGATTCTGTTGGCCTAACTCACCGGCCCCTGTCGGATTAATGTCGAGTAGCGAACTATGTGATTTCCTTGCTCTTCGGGCCGATCTACTCTTTTTCGACACCTTTTGATGTTCATCCGCGTCGACTTGGATATCCAGAATGCAGCCCGTCCGCCAATCACGAAAAAACGGAGTTTCGCCCATGTTCGCAGCTGGCCGAGGAAAGTAAAACAGGCCTACCATACGTTCTCGGGCTTCCTGGCTTCTGCAGTTCGTATCCTGAACCCCCCCCCACCCCCCCCCCCCCCCACCTGCTCTTCCTACCCTACCCTCGTTCGCAAACGTGAACCTGTCCGTCGCCGAGCCGATTCTCGTCTCTCAAGGCTAACGATCTCTTCTCCGATCGGGGGCTTTTCGCGACCGAACTCCGCGTTCGCGACATCCTCGCCCTTCAGTGGCGCTCGAGGAGGCCTTCCCCGAGAATAAAAAATCAATTTCTGCGGAGAGATAGGCCGAGGTGGTTTCCAGTAAAGATATTCTGCTCCAAGGTAATTTTTCGTACTAATACCAGAAACTTCGAGGACGACAATA